CAAAAACGAAGTGCCTCCCAACTGAGAGCACCCGTATGTTGTTTATGCACGGAGCAGCTCAGCTCTCTCCAACTTTTTTAACTGCAGATCATCAGCAAAGCTGGGCAAATAATTTAGCGCGTATCATTTATTCTACGAATTTTGATTCTTTGCCCACAAGCTGCTCATGCTTCTCACAGAGGTCCTATGAAATTATTCAGAGGAACTGCTGCCTCGGCCTATAGCTTGTTCAGCCGGCTGACAGCAAGTGTTTGACACCCCCAGCACTGCCATGCTGCCCGCTTGGTTTGCTCCAATTTGGTGCCTCTATCATCCCGTATCTCTTCTGCTCATAGCCTGGAAGAAAACTGACCTTAGGGGACACTTCCAGTGGTCAAAGCGCTGCAACAGAAACCTTACCTGGGTGCCCAGGACAGCCATTTCCAGTCCCTCACATGGAACCAGGCATCGTGGTACACCAGGTACAGCAACTGGTTAGCTGAGTGATCATCGAAACATGGTCACATCATCCATATGTTTGTATCAAAATGCCCCACACTGTCATTAAATGAAACTAAATATACACAGGAACAGCAGTAAGCACAGCTGTGATGTTTTTACCCATTGGCAGTGGAAAGGAGATGTTGCCGCAGCCTCACGCCTAACTGCAGTGCCAGTTACCAAGCTTTCCTGTACTTATGTTTAAGCTGCGAATTAAATGGCATCTGTTTGGGGCTGTTTTCCCTCTGCCACCACGCTGCACTTCTCCCCCACACAGCGGAGCATCGCCGCAGGCTGGGCAGAACCAGGCACCACCACCAGCAGGGGCTCAGAACCACACAGCTTGCAACCCCGGAAGCAGCACCGAGGCTACAGGGGCAGGAAAAGGGCTTCAAGGCACCTGGCAGGGCTCGGAGCAGGTTGCAGCATCCTCCTTGGTTGTGCTCCTGCTCCTGAGAGGAATCACTTGTGTGCTCCCTGCTGCACAGCACAGAGCACGCATCTGTTGCGACCGCTCAGCATAGCCCTGGAGCTCGTCTCCAACTTTAGCTCTGACGTCAAAGTTCAAGAGCACTGAGCAACATAAAGAAGTGCACAATTCCAAGTTTTGGGAAATACCAATTCCAGGTTTGCTAAAAATTATTTTTATGGTGGCAGACTGGTTTGTTCCTGCCCAACTAACATGTTAATTGCATCAGGGGTTTACAGCCATCATCACATGGTGTTGTCTCTGTGAGACAGGCAGTAAAATAAGTAAAATAGCGAATATAACTTCCCAGTAACAATTCTTCCAAGGTAGGAGTTGATGTGTTTGTAAAAACTGCCATATCAATGTCTGATTGCAAATTAGCCTACCGGCTCTTTAGGAATGTCTTGATTGTTACCATTACCAGCCACTGGGAATTCAGATGGCAGCCACCCCACGGACAGCCTCCATCCCCTTCCTTTATCATCTAAACATTGCAATCCTGTCTGCTGGAAGAGTTATGGCCCTTGAAGTTAGACGTGCCTGCCAAGAAAAATGTTGATTTTCTTTCTCCACCTACATTCAGATATCTGATTAATTCAATGCAAGGAGCAAGGAATTAAGCTGCTTCTTTTTTTTTGCTTTTTTAAGCTCAATACAGAAATATTGATGTAGAAAAATACAGTGGCTGTTAGAGTTGTCTTGTGACCAAGACAGCCTTAAAATGTGTTTTAGCCTGACTTGGCATGCTAGCTTTTAGGAGCTAAGCAGAGAAGTGAACTAATCCGAGGCCTTAATGAATAATGTTCAAATCCAACTTCCATTTTCAAATGCGTCCATACGTTAGAGAATGACTCACAAGGTGTTTGTTGTGCGGCGGAAGAACAGACGAACTGGGAAGGGTATTTTTATGTGTTTGTGAATCATAGTATATGATATTTTCCTCCACTGTGCTTCTCTGCCCTAACAGTTTTCTGCAATGAAATCCATTCAGCTGTACTGGAAATGTAGGCACTTTATAGAAAATCTTTAATAGTGCTAGCACAAATGGATGGCTCTTATTTCCTCCCTGCAAAGTGGCGATTTGCAAAACCACTGCCAACAAATATTTACCCCCCTCCCCCAAGCCATTAAATAAAGCCTAATGGAAATGCCTCCCAGCACACGCCACCCAGACAGGCTCGCTTTGCAGGCAGCACCCCACCAGCGTGGGCACCCCGGGGAGCACCTGCAGCCTTGCAGCGAGCTCAGGAAGGCAAGCACCACTCGTCCGTATAGCCAGATGCATACGTGAACACAGACACGAAAGGCGTTGGGTGACGCATGGGTGCACAGCCCAGTGGTTTCCCACTGCAGGGATCAATGTGGAAACTCACACTCACCAACGCACATCAGCAGGGACACGTGAACGCGCGGCCACGCCGGTGCCAGCATCCACACAAACGCATGCAGAGACAGGAAAACGCATAGATCATTTCCAACGCTTTCTCTCCTGGCTCCAATGCCTGTTTATTTTCTGGTACGCTCGTCTTGCTGGAATTTTTAACATTTAATTAGTTGAGCCAGCTGCTTTCGCTTTACAAAGGGCTGCTTAGTTTTGTCTTGTTCTAAATGTGTTTCTTTTGTTAGCAGGATCAATACACGCTCTGGCCGAGCTGCAGAACCCAGTCCTCCAGACCCCACCGCTGTTTATCTGCCGCATTGTGCTCCCGAGCAGGGTTCAGGTACAGGCTGCGAGCTGCAGGCTTTGCACGGGCGGTGTCAGCCAAGCCGGCCTGGATTCCAGCCTGGGCTTGGAGGGGAACAAAGCACAGAGCTGCGATATGTTTCCTCTTCATCCTTCTCCACCGAATCGGAGCTGCGAGTGACCTTACACTCTGCAGATTATTGTCCCTTGGAAACAGGATGAAAACCAAAGGATTCACTAAGTAGAAGAAAGATTTCTGCCCAGTCGTGGTGGGGCGCGGATCCTGCTCCCCTGGCAAGGGGATTCTCACCAGCTGGAGCATAATCACTGCCTGTGTGGATGAAAGATGCTGAATTTTTATCAACAGAGCTCAAAATCCCCCCTAGGAACAGACCACGGGAGAGCTCTCTGGTTACAAGTCCCCACCAGGCAGCTACAAAGGCTCTGTGAGCAGACACATCAGCTGGAGCCACGCTGGCTCGGCACCGCCAGCCTCTCCAGGCCAAGCCAGGCAGCTGGGCGAGGGCACATCCATCCCTCCCCGGGGTCTGGTGGGGATGCTGAGTCCTGCAGGAGCTGAGGGTTTGGGGCTGTAATTAAGGACAGACACAGGTCGGCTGCTGAGCATCCCCAGAGAGGCTGCTCCCCTGGAAGCACGTGCTCAGCAGAGGGCTTGGGCTGCTCCATCAGCGAGGGGGCACAACTACGGCATGGCCCTGGAGAAGGAACCCCGTGCGACTGCAGAGCCTCGGCTTTGCACAGCTGGTTGTATCGGGACCCTCACCCGCGATCAGATCAGCAGCAGTGGAGCTGCACGCTGACTACCAATGTTCCATCAAGCAGCACGCTCCGAGCACGGCGCCTGCTTTATGCAGAGCACAGCGGCTCCAGGCACTGCCCTGTCCCTTTCGCGATGCAGCACACATCTCGGCCAGCAGCCGAGCTGCTGATCTCCCCGGGCACTTCGGCAGCCTATGCAAAACCCTCCGGGGAAATACAGCGCATCTGGGGCACGTCAGGAAGGGAACAAGAGTTCCCTTTTGTAGGGCTACAAGGTAGCGCTGGCACTCATTACACTTCTGTTAGCAGAGAGGCCAAAACTGCAGAGCCTGGAGAGGTGTCACGCCAGCACGGGGAAGGGCTTGTTCAGACAGCGGTGCAGATGGGAAACACGCACGACCAGCCCCACGAGCCCTGTATGAGCAAAAGGATGCTGTGAAAAGCCCATCAGCTTTTCACACATGCACAGGCAGATCTGACATCCACTGCTGCCGCAGGCTGAGCCCAGCACGGCAGCGATGGTCCCTAACAGGCCAGCGAGGAGCTGGTGCCGTGCTCGGCTCCGCCGCAGGCTCCTGACAGCGCGGCGGGCAAGGGGAAGCTGCAGATTCGTGAGCAGCACAACCCAAAGAGCTCCCCTGCTCCCAGCACAGGCTGCGGTGCCCCGAGGTTTGCTCTGACTTGTCTCAACCCTGGAAGGAGGTCACGGCCTGTCCTTAAATCTTTTGCTGAATTACCAGGCAGCATGCAGCCTTTAACTATTTCCTAGCTCCTGAAGACAGTCACAAGCTACATCTGTTTGTTTCCAGATGATCAGGTATGCTATGGGTGTAAGATAAACAGTGTGAAACCCCGGTGACACTCAGGTGACAGCCTGTTTGAAGTTCGACATCGCGCCCTTTCCCAGAGCAGCATCCTCCCTCTCCGGAGTGGCTCTGCAGCATTATCGCAGCTTCAAGGCTGACTTTCACATCACCTTTCCTTGATTTTGGGTAAGGTCAGTCTTCCCTTTTGGTCTTTCAAGTCTGGGTTTTGCCTCGCTTGCTTTGTCTACTCTGCATGCCCACATTCCCTTTCTAGTCCTAGCCCCCGTAGCTCTTGGAATTACTTTGGGTTAATCGCTTCAGCAGGTTGCTTTCTGTCCCAGGTCCCTCTCCCCACTCTTTCCTTCAGATTCGGGAAGCTCCCTGCTGAAGGAGCGAGGAAGAGCAGCTACAGCACCACTGTGCTCCCCATCCCCTGGCAGCTCTACCCCGTGCTGCTGCTAATTCAGCACTGGCAGAGATTAGGAGAGAAGCGCCGGCCCCATTAAGGTCGCTGAAAAAGAGTCCATTGATTTCAGGGGAGCTGGGATTTCAGCCTGATTATCTCTATCGCTCATGAAAATACTTCTAAGGAGTTTGCCTTTGGAAAAGGGCAGATTGCCTCAAATGTCAGGTGTTAGCAAAGCATTTCTGCATCCCTAGACAGCCTCCCTTCCCCAGCTTCAAATGGCACAAAAGGACCCCTGTGCTATTCTATTCAGACCAGACGAGAGCTCGTACCTTGAAAGGCGAGAGAAGTTTGCCCGAAAATACACACATGAACTTCCTTTTTCAATAGCTCTAATAATGTTTTTTCTCCCAGGAAATAAATTTTTAATTGTTCTTATTCTTCCATACCACCTTTGAAAAGGATTTGCTTTTTCATTGAAAGTCCAAGATAGAACACTTAAAAGTTTTCAATTTTCAGGCCCGAACGAGCCTATCACTTCTGACATAAACAAACAAAGCCTGAACATGTTTAATGAAACAGTTTGGGCTTTAAAAATGAATGCTTTTGTTTTGCTCAAAAAGCCATTTGTATCTCCAATCCCGAAGACATTTTCCCCAAACCCATTTAATCCATCTCTAAAAATCTTTTCTTCGAGAGAGGTGTAACAGACACTTGCTCGCCAGGCTGGATTTGCCTTCCTCCTCATTAGAGCCACCAGAAACGAGCCCTGTGCTCGGCAGGGAAATGAATCCGCTACCAGCTGCTCAAGATAGCGGAGGGAGCGTGGCGCTTATCGCAGGTTAGTCCTCTGATAAAAGAACAAAAGTAGAGCTCAGCAAACGATATCTGGCAAACAATAATGTGCACTTTTTCCCTCTATTTCCCTCTTCCAGTTGTCAGTAAGCAAAACTTTATCATTTTCCCCAGCACGCTTGTCCCAGTAATTGCGTAGCTGACCCCAGACGGGGATTTCGGCCCTGGGCACCGCGGCTCTCCCGGGCACCCCTCCAGCACCAGGCTTTGGTTGAAAACCCTTCTCTTTATGAGCTTCAAATTCATTTCTAGCAGGCACCGACATAAAAACTGCTGTCCATGCAGTTGTTCCTGCCAGCAAACTCATTAGCAGAGATATTCATTGAGAGCGAGCATAAAGGAGAAATGAACTCAGCTGCCCAGGCTCTGCCGGCTGCTGCTCCCCGAGCAGAGGGGCAGCCGTGCGGACACGCACACCCCTGCCTGCACACTGCCCCGCTCACACCCGTTGTGATATCTTCCTCTCAGCCTGGGCAGCTTCAAGGAATGCCAAAGCTCTGCCACAGAACTGCTGATTTTGCAGAGCTCCAGCCCAGGCTGGGGAGCTTCTGGCCGCAAGGCTTCAACAACAACACTCGCTTGGAGAGCAGCGCCCAGCACAAAGTCACGTCTGCACCTAAACCACCCCCAGGCTGCTGGGCTGGGGCTCCAGTAGATGTCCGCATCTCCAACCTGAGACAAAAAAGCAAAGCAAGGGAATGCTCACTGTGCCTGATGCCTGTTTGCAGTGGGGTATCCAGTTTGGGGAGATGCTGACGCCAGGTTTCCTGCAGAGGAGCACAGCACGTTTCTGTACCTGCAAAGCTTCAGCCCTTTTTGAAACAGCCAGACTTGGTTGCCAGGCAGCTTGGTGGCTCTGGGCATGTGTGAGCCCTCTGCAAGGAGGAGCACTCACCCCCTGCTTCCCCAGCCCCTACCTGGCAGCTCCACGCACTCCTGGGGAGCACCCAGCACCTCATCACCCACTGCAGCTGGGACAAACCCATGGGAGAAAGGAACCAGGAGCCACCAAGAGCTTCTTTATCACGGGAACCACCCCTCATTAAATCCCCAGTACAGCCTCAGCTGCTCCCAGTGCCCTGGGTGGTGCCAGAGGCTCCCTGATGGGTGCAGCTGGGCACTCGCCCTTGCTCTGCCTGTGCTGGGTGAGGGGCTCCATGTGGGTTTGTGGGGCTCCATTTCGGGCTGTGGTCCTTCCCCAGCCCAGCTCTGTGGGCTCTGCCTGCCTGCTGCAGCCCAAGGTTGGTCCCTTTGCTGCTGCAGGGCTACCCCAAAGGGGAATTCTCCAGCGCTGAGCTCCAGCGTTGGGAACGTGGTTTACAGTTCTTCCCTGAAAGAAAAACAAAAGAGCATTAAAATCAAGTGGAAACAAAGACAAGAGGGTTTGGAGGGCCTGACTTATGAGGAGACATAAAGGAACATAACATATAGGCCTGTAAAAGAGTAAAGGGGCAGAGGGGAGATGTGAAGGATATGAGAAAGCTGTACAAATAATAGCAATAATAAAAATAATGATATTTATAAATTGCTCACTCAAGAGCACGGAGGGACCCAAGCAGACAATTAAAACACAATAATAATAAACAATAATAATTAAAATCTCATAAAACACATCATAGGAAAAGGAAGCAAAATATTCCAAAGCTCCTGAAATCCTGCAGAGGACATAAAACAAAGGCAAGGGGGAAAACTTGTCTGAGGTTGACTGAGAATATATCACAACCAGGAACGGGTTTCTGCCAAGGGAAAGGGGATGGGGAGAAGAGAGGCTGAGACTAGACAGAAAGGCAAGGAGCACTGTGGTTAGGGCCATGGGCGGTGGCAGGGCAGCACACAGCTCGTTATGCTCAGCAGCAACAAGTGCTGGGTGCTGGGGGTGCTGGCACGGCCCCGAGCACGGCCACGAGCAGGCACGGGCACTGCCCTCCCCATCGGGAGCCTGCGAGTGTGCCAAGCTGCATCATAAGCTGATTTTCAGGGAACTGTTCATGGCTATTGCGAATCATTTGCTTTCGGATAGTGTCTAATCTGCTAGCTTTTCACCAAATATTGGATCACATTCCAGGAAACAGTGGGCATCAAATCTGAGCCCAGCGGGATGCCTTTAAATGATGTTGTACTGGTGCGTTCTGTCATGTCGTCCCAAACTTCAGCGCGGCGCAGGCTGGCAGGGGGATAACACGTCCTGATTAGGAACTGAAAGACAAGTGCAAGCTCTCACTCTCTTTCTCCGTGCATTTGTATGTGTACGCGTGCTCAGATCCTCACTGTATATTCTGTGGAGACAGGAGCTGGAGATCAGGGTAGTCTAAAATGCAGCATGACTGCAGCACATACAAGCAGGAGCGCACCAGAATGCCTCTGACAAGTTACACCAATTATATACCAGTTATTTGTCACATCTGTTAACTCATCAGTTTGCATTTCAGGCATGAGACTACGTCTAAAGATAAGACAGCAACAAGAAAAGTGGGGCAGACTGACGGTGCAGAAGGGTGATGTTTATGAGTCCTTGCCCAGCACCAGCCCTGCCCGCCCCAGGATGATGCACCATAAATATGCATGCAGCATGGCAACAGGGTATCGCTGCATTTTGACATGTATTACATGTTGGAATAACTCAGAGGGATTTCTGCTCAGTATAATAATGAGCGCACCCGGTAATAGCCAGCTCCAGGAGAGGAGACAAAGCCGGAGTTACTGCACCTGCAGTTTAATAGTTGGAGAATTGTGATCTTAGAAAAACAGTTTGCCCTAACGACATTACCCATACAGTGAAAGCCTCTTGTCTCGTTTAAGCTGGCTGTGGGAGATGTTTGCAGCCAGAAGACTCTCAGAAAGGATACGTTTTCTGACAGCGAGAAGGTCACCCAGACCGAGAGCAGTGCTGTGTGCTTCTGCTGCATTGAAATTTCCGTGCCCTCAATTCGGCATCGTGATAGCAGACGAGCATTAGGGACAGGGAGGCCAGCCAAGAAAATGCTTTTCTGATGGGCTTCGAAGCCAGGAGCTGCAGGAGAATCATCGGGGGGGACTCACATCCCCAGTACCGGGGGGCACTGAGCAGCGGCTGCTGCCGGTGCTGGGGAAGGGGTGCCTGCCTCCCCAGTCTGGAGGGATGCAGCTTTTGTGCAGGAGGAAATTCCCTCATCCCTTCCTTTCCTGCATCCCAAACGTGCCAGCAGGATGTGGCAGGAGGGGCAGAGGCCGTGTCCAGTGGCACTGCCTGGGGATGAGTGTCACGAGTCGGCAAAGAGCTGGGAAGAGCTCGGCGGAGGCTCTGCACATCCCTCGCCGTGGTCGGAGGCTGTGATTCATTACCCTCCAGCTCTCCCAAGGTGGCTTTGAATCAAGGGTGACTGGTGTTGAGTTTAATTACATAGGAACACAGTATTTGACGGGTGCACTGGTCTGCCGGGGATGGCATCGTGCCCTGGCAGCAGCCAGTGTCCTGCCCTTCAGCGGGAGGTGACACCGCAACCTCTGTGGGCACCGGGCAGCCCCATGCAGCAGGGGGACCCTTCCTGACCCACAGAGCCATTAGCTCGTCACCTCCAGCGTGAGAGATGATTAGCCCTCTGTCTTCTATGCACGGTTACAAATGTTATTATTAATCATAAAATTACGCAGCTCCTCTAAATCCAGCTCCATTTAACTCGGTGACCCCTGATGGCTGCAGCTCTGCGGGCTGCCAGCGGGCCAGGTGAGGACACGGGCACTGCTCACTGCTCTACGCCCACCCGACCTCAACCCCCCTGGCCCGGTGATGCAGGAAACGTTTGCCTTTCATCTTCCTCCTCCTCCCCTGAAGACCTCAGGGGTGATGCCCTCAGCACCGAGGCCAGCCCTGCTCTCACCAGGGCGCACGGCCAGGAGCAGGTCGGATGCCGGCACAGCGAAGATGTTTCCAGATGAACCTGAGCCTCTTGCTGCTCCCCAGGTAAACAAACAGATTGTTGTCGAGGGTTTTTAATTTCCTCTGCCACGGAGCTGCCGCGCGTCTTTTATAGAGAGAGAGCCTTTAAAGACTTTGGGAAGCAATTCCAACATTTTCTATAGGCGCAGGGAGATAATTGAATGCTTTCAAAGACCACTGCATGGCAGGGAAAGTTCAATTTTTGCAGTGCGGGGCATCCTGCACCGACGGAGTTTTGTGCTTTGGCAACGCTCCCCTTCTTTTTTTTTTTTTTTTTTTTGTATTTCCTAGAAGCTGAATTACTCTCGGTGTTTTTCTGCGGCTTGTCTCTGATGAAGCACTTAGGGTTGAGAAGCAAAAACAAACTAAAAGTAAACCAAGACCCTTGCCATGAGATAAATAAATAAATAGACACAAGCAGAGACTTCTCTGCCTCCTCTGAGAGGGAGGAGAAGGCATCTGCTCCACTCGCGGCACCGATAGGCAGAAAGTCTCTCTGCCGAGCTATTTTTAGTCCTAACATTGCAGAACAAGAAGCAGCTCCAGGCAATTTTCTTTTTCTCTCCCTTTTTTTTTTTTTCTTTTTTTTTTCTCCTCTCTTTTTTTTTTTTTTCAAATTTATTCATTCAGAGACAGAACAAAAGTGGTGTTTCAGGAGGAGGGGGGGGTCTCTGTGTGTCCTCAGTGCTTGCTTGCAGCACGATTAGCTCGGGCAGGGAGCTGGCACCAGCAGGGCTGCACCCAAGGCATGGAGAGGGCTCGTCCCATGGGTGCATCCCTGCTCTGGTCCACGAAGCATCATCCCCTGTGCCAACACATGCCCCCTGTCCAGGTTGTGCTTGCCCTGCTTTGGGTCTGTGGTGCTGTGCCCTGGTGCTGGGCTCAGCCACGGGCACCGTCCTGGCTGCTCCCAGCCGAGGTGCCCCAGCAGATGCTGTACAGAATTGTGGCCCCATAGCCTGTAAATTGAGCTATGTTTCTCTTTCTGGGATAAAGGAAAGAACAGTGGTGTTTTTCACGCAGTAAAATAAATATGTCCTTGTTAATGCATATCCCTTTGGAGGAAGCAGCAGGTGGAAATGTTCGGGTGAAGGTTACCAGCAGACTGGAATTTAAAAGCAGCCAGCACCGAAGCAAAATACCTCCCTCTTCAAGCTTCCTGTTGCTTGCGAAGGGCAGTGGGGATGCAGAAGATTTGCAGGGGAATTCAGCTCTTATGTTCACTCCTGGCGACGGTTCCATGCCAGCTAATTGCATCCCGCTTATCTCTGGTCCAAAGAAAAGACTGATTTAAGTCTTGCTTCTATTGGAAGTGGCATTGCTTATGCACAGCTGCACACATACTTCACAGGCTTTGTGCCGGCCTGTGAAATGTCAGACAGACTTCTGCGTGGAGCAAGTCTACACACACACACACCAAAAAAAATGTATTGTATTTAAATATTCCTTAAGTCATTTTAATGTATTTAAGTCTTAATTCATCTTCTCAAGGTTCCTTTTCACTACATTAGTGTGACGTATTTGACAGAAAGATGAATGGCATTATTAAAGAGTCTCTCTGGCACATTTTTGTAATAAAATCTTTCTTTCCTGTCTGCATGCAGGCCTTTTGCTTCCTTACTCCTCAAAGAGTATTCCTGGGTTTCTGGGAGACGCCTGACGATGTCTCCAGCACCTTTGCAGTGCAGACATCTCAGTCCCATTTCGGGAGGCTGCAGGGGCTCTGGATGGGACCGTGCTCTACCCCCTGCCAGGAGAACCCCAGGTGTGTGTAGGGCTCCCTGTACACACACACGTCCTGCTGTAGGTGCCCCGAGCAAAGCCCTGGCACGGCTGCCCTGCTGCGCCCTCCCCACCCGGCAGCGGGGACGGCGGGGGCCTCCCAGGACGAGCCTCGCATTCCCCCACAGCAGCCCCAAGCAGACACCCTCTGAATTTATGCACTGCTTTCCCATTCCTTCTTGATTTATCATTTCCAGCGTGCCAGAGAAGTCACACGCATTAATCATCCTGACTTTTAAACCAGCTCCCCTAAATCATTTCTCACGCTGGGAGCCATTTGCTGGGAGTGCTGGCGAGCCCCTCTGCTGTGCCTGCAGCATCCAGGCCGGGATAAGGCTGGGACAAGCAGCCTTCCTGCTCCAAAGCCACCCCACGAGGCCGCTCCTGACCCCTCCGTGCAGCACGCCGAGGGGAGGCGAAGCCAGTGGGGATGCCCAAGCTCAGGGCAGCTCCCACGCTCCACAACTCCTGGCTCTGGGGCCAGCGTGCTCTGATCCCTGGCTGACACAAACAGAGCTTAAAAATAGAAAAACTCGGATCGAAGTTGCTAAGAGAAACTCCGGGCTGTGTGTGTGTGTGTGTGCTTTATATGAAATATTGAAGAGCCGGCTCAGAACGGAGTTGTCAGCACTTTGGGAGCTGGAGAAGGAGCGAGGGGATGGCTCTGCCCTGCCTTTGTGTTCGCTCGGCTGCACGGAGGAAGGTGATGCTGTGAGAGCTTCCAGGGTCACAGCGGGGTGAGGGACAGGGGAGTCCCCCTGCTGACGTGCTCCCACAGGCTGGGGGGAATCCCTCAGCTCCTGGGGAAACTGGAAAAGGGAACGTGCCAAGGGCAGGGTCTCCTCAGTGGCCCCACACCGATGGGGCAGGGGTGGCTCCGTGCCGTGTCCAGCTCCACGGGGGCAGGGGGGCTCGCCTGCCTCGCTCCAGCCCAGCCTCAGCACATCCCTGGGTGCCTCGTGTCCCAGGCACGTGAGGAATTTTATTTGCCAGGCTTGTGCCTTGCAAGTTCTGCTCTTTGCCCTGAACAGGAGGAATTTTACTAACTTTATCTTCTGAATCCCAGCACGCAGAAGAAAGGAGAATAAAATCGTGTCACGACCTCATCTGTCTGACCTCAAAGAGCAGGAGCAGGCTGCAGGCTTAGATGCACCCTGAATTTTCTCCTGGGTTGCAGAGCAGCAGCCAAAGCAGAGTCAGAGCCCCAGACCTGGGTTTCCAGCGTGTGAGCTCATGTGGGGAGCAGCAGCACATCCCCTGGGTCTTGCCCTGCCCTGCAGGTTGGGCCGGGGGCGAGGCACTGCAGATGGCAAGGAAATTACAGGAGCAAGCTTCTGGATTTTGCTTGGTGTTTCTGCAAATAGATATTGCACTGTTTGCTGAGACCTCGTGTTGGATGCTTGCTATCCTAAATCAGTGCCAGTGATTGCCAGTCACCATTATCCGTCCATCTCCAGTCTCTGCAGAATCCAGCCTCAAGTATCTCCCTGTTAGCCTGGCCCTGCTGGCACGTTGTTCCAGTGAAATGGCAGACTGAAAGCGAGGCATTTGGGAATTTTGGAGTAGTGAAAAGCAGATTGTGGGGGTTATGGTCCCAGCCTGCCGTGTGGGGGGCTCAGCATTGTGAAAACCCACATCAAGGCAGAGTCCGTGTGTCCTCCTGGTGCACGTGGTTGTGCTGGGAGCCACAAGCACAGAAGGTCTGCAGAAGCATATTGCTTACAACAAAGGCGAGATCTTCTGCTCTCTGACTGTTTAGACTCTCCAAAGCTTCAGTGATCTACCTAGATTAGGCCTCAACAAGCTGAATTTCTGCTCCAGGTATTGCAGCTGCTCCTTGCTGAATAAAACATGCCGTTTGCTCTGCTGCGCCCAGAAGATGAGCTCCAAGAATTCTTTTATTTCTTTTTCTATTTGTACACGCGCTTGCTTTTTGGCAAACCTTTGCGAAGCGGGGCACTGCCTGGTGCTCCTCTTGGGTTGTTTCACACCGGGAAGGATTTTGCTGTTTTAATAAGCCTCCCATCATTTGCACAGCAGATGCTGGTGCTGGCACCCAGTCCACGAGCAGCGCGAGCAGTGTGCTGGCCCTGCTGCCTGGGGCCAGGAGCACCAGTGATACCAGTAACACCGTGACACCAGTGATGCCCCCTTGCTCAGCAGAGGCAGCACCCCTGGGTGCTGGATTTCTGCTTCAGCTAAGGTGGGACAAACTGCTTGGCTGGGGTATTTGTATGGCACCAGCCATATGCAGCATTTAAAGCGCTATTCATTTCCATGGCTGTTGTTACCACTTAGAAATTATCTTCCCGATAGCTAGAGGAATGTTCTGCCTGTTATGCTTGGTCCAAGCCGGCTGCTCAGTCTCTTGACTTGCTGTTTTCATTTACTTACAGAAAACGCAGCCGAAATGGATTGTTTCTGCTTTGCGCTCAAGTTTTTAAGTAATAGGAAAAATGACAATCAAGTAATGACTGTTGCAGCGCAGCTTTAATTAAATAATTGGACAGTGAAACTTCGGGATTGGATGGGCATTTTTGCATGAGGACGTGCCTGTTATCTGCAGCTCGTGGTAACCATTCAGTAGGTCCTGGGCTCTTGGTGTCCTTACTCCTTGTATTTGCTGAATTACCGCCAGCTGGGCGCACGTTGTAGCTGGCAGATCGCACCAAAGGGTTTGCAGGTTCAACCAGCACATGTGTAGGTGAGCAGCAAGGGCAGGATCCGGCCCCTCGTGGCACATCACCATGGCTCGCAGCAGCCATGCACGTGGGAAGGGCTCCACACGCAAGCAGATCTGCAGCTGTGTTTGCATGTGTGCACGCCCCTGGGCAAACCTTCCCCTGGTCCGCCCAACTTGCCAACGAGCTCCGAAACCCCTCTGCAGCAGCACAGCGAGCAAGAGTCTTTTTATAAACATTTCGAGATCTAAGTTTGGCATCTGCTCCCATAATGATATAGCAGATCATTACAATTTGTGACATCCCACTATAAACAGAAAGCTGTAAAACCCTGTAATTTAGAAAGCTGGATCAGGTACTCATGTGTTTTGCATAATCCAAAAGGATAGTGGGTTTCAGGCTGTTTTCCTTTTTTTTTTTTTCTTCTTCTTCTTTCTTTTTCTTCCTTTCTGGTTGACATGGTTACAGCATCCCGAGGATGGGGTAATAGGACACGACACATGCATTCGGGTAGACTCAAAAATCCACTGATGCCTCCCGGAAAACTGAAAACACACTGTTTAGAGACAATTCGGCTGCTTTATCTTCTTGTATTTCTCTTCCTCTCTTTCTTATTTCCAAAGAGGTATTTGCATGAAAACACTGTTTTCTTTCCTGAAGCTTTTCACCCACCACTGCTCTTTCCCACCACAAACCCTTTGTTCCCTGCCTGGGACATCAGAGCCACTTCTGCTGTGACCCACTGCTACGGCAGAAGAGACCCAGGCTTTGGGTTGGGAAACAACCTGTGGCAGGAGCAAGTGCTGACAAAAAATAGATAGATGGAGACAAAATTGTTCCTAAATTGAATGTTTTTCACAGTTCTTCCAAGCAGTGTCTGCAGTACTTTAAGATTATTCTCTCCCGGGGGGCCTCATAAAAGCTGTAAATACTCTGAATAGCTTTCAAGGCTAGCCTTATGACAGTTCAGTTCTCAAGAAAATATATGCTAATGTGCATCGCCATCATTATCTGGGAGACCTCGGTGCCGATGCTTTTGTGTCTACGAAGAAAAGATTTCTGATTGCTGGTGTTTTGCTAAAAGTTAAATACATCCAGGCTTTGAAACTCACGGGGAGAATTCTTAAGCAGAAGCCGCTTGATGGCAACTCCCATGCGCCGTGTCCCAGCTCCGGGATTTATTTCAAAGCGATGGATCAGATCTTTCCTGCTCCTGCCACAGCAGCCAAGGGATGTCACCGGCACTGGTGGCAGCTGCCCACAGCCCTGAGAGCATCTCCCGCGTGGATCTGCTTCCCGGAGGAGACCAGCCCATCACCATGCTCCTGGTGCTAGGCAGTGGAGCAAACACTTCCAGCCCGCTAAGCTTCAGAGCTCACGGTTGCAACATTTTTGTAGCTTTCCTCTTTTATACATGGAGCCTGGGCAACATACCGCAGAGTTCTGCAGGAAACACAGGAGGCAGATGAGTTTCCGAAAGCAGGTTTCTGTAGGAAGAGGAGCAGGTTCTGCAGCATGTGCACACGTGGACTTCCTCACTCCGTCTCCCAGCGAGTTTTGTACCTTGTCATCGGCACTGACATGCAACAAAATGGAAACAAGGCTATTTAAAGGCTTCCCTGCAGTATGGTGCTTAAGAAAAAAAAAAAAAAAAAAAAAAAAACACAAAACAAAACACACACTTAAGTGTAAATGTCAATGGGACCGAACTTGTAATGCAGGCACATACTAAGCTACTTTACTTAATGGAGGCTGAAAGCACCGAGAGGGGAAAAAAAAAGGCAGGGAGCCGTGCAGAGAGCTGGGCTCACCCTTGTCCACGTCCCTGGCCAGGGTCTGGCCCCTGTGCCCGGCTCCCAGGGGCACTGCTGGGCTCGAAGGGCGGCGGGGCTGCAGCACGGGCTGCCCAGGGGCCACGAAGCCACAGCTCTGGGGTGTCCTGGGGGTGAGGAGAGAAGGGCGAAGAGCAGTGGGAGGCAACAGGAGGCCCAGCTCCAGAGCCCAAAGCTGGAACCATCCTTCCTTCTCAGACGGGTTTGCAGCTCCCCTTGGTGGAGGCAAGCGGGGGGACAAGGGAGAGCCAGAACAAAGTGAGGGAAGGACTTCGAGGGTCCTGTGGAAAGGAGAATCCTCCCTGTCCTGAAATGCTCCGCAGAAATGCTTTGCCGGCGCAGACATTTCCAGGGCTTGGGGTTCCTGGTATCAATCGCAAGTGTGGGATGTTGTTTATGGCTGTCTCGGTACAGCAGTTCCTGCAGCAATCCAATTCTTTTGTCCCCGGGGGGGGAAATCAAAGTGCGTGGCTTGCACAGAAGAGCAGTGCCTCCAGGAACTGCTGGTAGGGTGGCACCTCTCCAGCACCACCCTGCGGGGGGGACCCGGCCCTCACCGGGCACCCATCAGAACCAAATAAATCCTGAAATTCCTCCCTCGGTCTCCTAAAGTGTCCTTTGCTTTCAAACTGTGTTTATCATGCATGATTGATATTTGACATTACGAGGTACCAGGAACACGCACAGCATTGCTCCGCTGGGACGCAGCAGCGCTCCCGCAAACACATCCATCAGAGCTGTGAGTGCCACCCCAGCACGAGGGTGACGGAGGAGCCATCCCGGGAGGGAAACAACAGCTCCAGTCCCACCAGGGACCTCGCCACACATCTGTGGGCTCAGGGAGCAGAGGGACGTACGGGGTTCAGTGCTGCTTTTAAGGCACAGCCCCTGCAGAAAGCCTCCCCGGGCACAGAGCCGTGGTATCGCTGCCATCAGACAGGCTGAAGGATGCTGTCTGCAGTCCTCCACCCCGTGGGCTGCAAGTGCCCTTGAAAGATGGCTGAGAAATCCTTGAAGAAAGCAGAGGAAGCGAGGGCTCCGGTGGGTTTGCCTTTCGTTCCTGTGACCGAGGTGAAGGGAAGCCTCGCTGCGAGCAGCACGCTCCCAGATCCAGGAGCACCAAAGTCTTTAGCAGATGGAGATAGCAGGGGAAGTATTGATCCCAATTTCCCTTCGCTGTCATTTGAGAAGTGGTTGCTGGAAGATTGCATTATCTTTCTGAAACGTGCCACTGCGCGTGCACATCAGGACGAGCCGGTGCACGATTCATTAAGCAATTCTTACAATAGTGCTGAACTACAGGAACGACAATGAACTCGGCTAAATAATTCGAGGGCCTGATTCTCACTCCCAAATAAAACCTCTCTCAGGTTCCAGCCAAGTAAAAGGCTCTTGTGAAGGTCTGGTTCCCCAGCTCTGGGTATGAACACGAAGATGATGGAGCTTCCCTGCCTCAGGATACGCTGTGGGAGAGGATGCCCGTGCCAGAGGGAAGGGGCTGGGCACCGAGTCCCACCAGGGCTGAGCTGAGCTCAGCTGAGAGCTCAGGAGCCGGCCAGAATTAACAGGTCTGCATTGATTTTTGTTTAACTTCTCATTTATTACAATGCTGTGGATAGAGATTAACTTTCGGTGCTTAGTATTTATTATTGTTTCAGCTGCTTTCAAATGGAAACTGAAAGCACTTTGATAAATGAATCAAGAGCTTTGTCTGGCTTCACTGTACCTGCTGTGAAGGTGCACGCTCTGTGCTGATGCTCCTGCACAGCGGAGTGGAGTGGCTCTCCATGGCAGCCAGGATGGCTACATGGCAGCAAAGAGCTCGCTGAAAATAGGATGCCCTAGCACAGAAATGCAGAGCCTGGGAGTTTGTAAGCAAGCTGCTTTGGTCCTCCTTCGCCACCCTCTCCAGGTGCAGCTGAAAAGAGGGACAGTGTCCTCAGGCCCCCTCACACCGCATGCTGGAAGGGCTCCAGAGGTACTGGGATGCTTATCCCAAGCTGGCAATGAGGGAACACAGCAGGCCAATGCCTGGGAGTTGGGCTGGGGCACAGAAATCCCTGCAGATCCCTCACAGAGAGACACCACGGAGCTGCCCCAGGAGGCCCCAGCTCTAATCCGCCTTCCTGAAGCAAGTCCCACTCCTGCAGCACCTTAGCCTGCAATCCCAAAAGCATCAGCTGTGGGGAGGGGAGGCAATGCAGGAAGCAGTCTGCAATCCCAAAGGCTTTCCCTGAACCAAAACAAAGAGCAAGTGGTAGTCAGACAAAGCTGGTACTTCCTCCCTGCCAGTTCGTGCTCCCAAAGCAAATCATTAATATGCATTTCTCTGACGTGCTGTAAGTCACTTGTGGTGAAGTGCTGCATCTAATTGATTTGAGATGCATCAGCCGAGCCTCACGACTGACTCCGTTAGGCCTGCGTGTAATAAGTGCAACACACTGGAAAGAGGGGAATTACTCTTGACACTGGGATTATATCTCTGCCAAAGGCATCAATATTCTATTAAAGATATGTGATAACATAACACTAATTACCAATTGAGGGTCCATTAAAGGCAGCCTACAAACAGCGGTTCGATCTCACCTTTCAGATTAAAAACACCACAATGATTTCCTGTTCCTTGTACTTTATTTCTGTTTTTTTCTACCCATGCATAATTCAGGAATGCAAATTGCCAGCAAATATCTAGAAGATTTCTGTCTTCACCTGCCATCCAGGGGCAACAGCTTCCCGAGCCCGGGCTGAGCCAGGAAGGAGATAAGTCATGTCTACAAGCCAAGAGCAGTGCAGAGAAGTCCTCTCCCACTTGGACCTGGCTGCCTGCCTGGGGGCAGTGCAGTGGATGGCCATGACTCAGTAGCAGAGGAAAGCACCGGGCGTGCAGCATGGACAGGCACCAGGCTGGCCCCGCAGAACCTTTTGGTAGCTACATGTTCAGCTCATGGATGAAGCAGGGCTTTGCTTTCCAACCCAAAGGGAGAGCTTTTGGCTGTGAATTAACTTCAGCAAAGCTCCAGGTGGGCCAGGTAGAGGTGGGAAGGGAGCCCGGCACATGGCCAGCTCCTCGTCCCTACCCCAAGCAGGGGAACAGCACTACGGGTACCTGGAGTCCTTGCTGGCCACCTGCAGACACCCGAGAATCCCCACGATGGAGACCCCCCAGATGGAGCCTTCCTCCACAGGCTCTCCTGCGGGGCTGCGCAGCCTCCCCCAGGCGGCTGTGCCCCAGGGGGGGCTTTATGGGGGGCTTGGTGGTGCTGCCAGCCCCCCACTGCCCCCCAGCAGAGCATCCCCTGCAAGGGGCATCCCCTCCCCTGCGCTCAGCCTGTCGCAGCAGCTGTCTCGCCTTCCCGAGATGCTCCAACTCCCTTCCCAAGGCTCCTGCTGGTGCTGGCAGGAATTTAACAGAAAACAGCGTGAGAGCTGATCGCAGCCAAGCGCGCACGGAACGCCGTGCTCGAGGGCAGGCATCCAGCAGGGCAGCAGGGATGCCAAGCTCCTGCCTTTAAATGCAGCACCTTGATGAGACGTTACAAATGCTGCTAGCCCTGCGAGGGGCTGGAGACGCCCAGGCTGCACCACCATGCACATCCCAGCAGGAGCCGGGCACAGCCAGAGTGGAGATTCCCCCTCCACCAGGAGGACAGCAAGCCTAAATGTCATGGCGCATTTTGCAGCAAGAACAAGCAAATCAGATTCTTCAAAAGCTTCATTTCTTAAAGATGTTTTTCTGGTTGTAAAGATTTTTTTTTTCCCCTAAAGCTACAGAGGGTGCACAGTCTAGAACAATGACCATGAGGTTAATGAAGTTGAAATGAATATCAACTCCAACACCCCTCATCTTGTAGGGGCAAATCTGATTCTCTCAACAAGGCTTGGTGCCCCAAACAGCACAATATTTGGCAAAATAAGGGCCTAAAAGACAAAACTGGACTCCTCACACATCACTGCAAGCACCAACAGACGTTAGTGAGCATAGCTCGTCCTGAAATTCAGTTATTGGCAAGAATAATATGAACATTATTGTTAAAGAGGGAATAACTTCCCCGCAGAGAAACAGAGGAATTAGAATCCGTCTCCTACTCCCAGCCGATGTTAATGGCACGATTTAGCTCCAAGCAATCCTTTCGGAGGCCAACATTGAGGAACACACATTAAATAAATGTCTAATAAGGGACAAAGCAAATCGCTGTGGGAGGCTGAGGAAGGTCACGCAGGAGCCAGCGATGAGGAGCTGCATCGTGCACGTCTCCTCGGCCAGAGCCTCTTGCAAGCTGGCACAGCTCGGGAACTCCCCCCCCACATTATTCTCCTGCATGCAGCAGCAGCTGCCAGCCATGCATTATTTTAATGAGACACAATAATATTCTATCAGTTCTACAAGCTATACATTGGAGCCACGGAGAGAAATAGTCTGAACCTCTATATGATCAATCTTGTCAAAACATGTTCATTTAATCCTTTGCAAATGAAAGGAAGATGTGTTTAAAGCGTCGTCCTTGGGGTCTCGGAGCCAGGTTCCTATAAATCAGTCAACTCAGGTAAACTGTATTATTTAGGAGCTATTTGACAGCATACGTGCTGAAAACATTTTTTAAACTATGCACGCAAGGTTTACATTATCTCAGGCATTAAAGTGATGTGGATTTTTTTTGTTTTACCTTTCTGTGACTAAGTGCCCACCGTGCAGTGATTGCGCTCCGAGGTGCACGCGGAGAAGATGGATAGGCGGAGGTTAAACAGGGACGCACACAACTCACCGCTAAGCACACGCGCCAGTAAACCCAGGGACTAATAAGCTTACGGAGCTGACAAGGAGGGACAACCACGTACAAAATTTCAGGCAGTAACTTACTCTGCTGGGGAATTCAGCCCTCAGTCTGACTGAGATGCTTCTGCAAGCAGGACTGCGCACTTGAGGGTATCCTGAGCAGCCCCCTGCCCGAGGAGAGATGCCCAAGGGACACACACGCACCCACACTTACGGCAGCTTCATTTTTCTCCAGCAGCAGCTGCTTAAAAAAGCTCAACAGTAATCCAGGGAGACTTTCTGGGACACCTGCAGAAAGGACCAAGTCTGCAGCCCAGCTGTGGAACAGGTGGGAATTAGGAGTGATTGGCTTTGCTTGGGGATCAGGCATTGGTTTGGCTCTTTTGTGTCATGGGGTGAAGCACTTCACCTCCTGAATCACGTTTTTCTTATGGGCTTAATCATCTCCAGCTTTGTCAGAGGTAAGTTGTAAGGCATTGCCTGATACCCAGATGAGATGCTCAAGGAAACTTACGGAGCATCCTGCAACGAACCCCGAGCTGCGCACCACCAAACTCCACGAGACCTTTTTCTGGGGGAACAACGTGGCCTTTTTTGGATGAACACCCACATGCCCATTTAACAGAAAGGATGTTTGACAGATATGACAATGGACAGGGATTGGTTGGATTCTTTATTGGTTCTGAAGGTGCTTATATTTAAAACAATTTGTTAGGCTCTCTGTGATTTACTGCCGAGCTGGAAAATGGGGCTGAGTATTGATTCTTTGCCTTTTCTATTGCAAATGGGTGTAATGTTTTATAGTATGTCAGAATAATAGCAGCGGGCACTTTATCAATGTCAAATGTTAAAAATGATCAGCTATTGTGATGTAGGAGATTAAATATGAAAGCTTGATGGGTATATAAAAGCAAAATGGCAATAATAAAGGGATTTTTATGTTCAACTCGTTGCTCTCCTGAATCTACCTGGGGAGCTATTAGAACCAATTGTGCTGATCAGTGACATATCACCATGGGTTAAAGGACTGGAACGTGCTGGGTTTCGTTCCCCAGGGGGGCTCTATTTGTTGCCAAGCTGATCGGGGGGCTGGAAGCCAGCCCTGCCCTTCCCCATGAGGACTGGCTGCATGGCATCGCCTTGCACCGGGCTGGAGCCTGCTGGCAGGGCGAGGTGGCACCCAGGCAGTGCCAGCATCAGTGAGCACAGCTCCTGGGTGCCACGGGGCCGAGCAGCCCCTCCAGCCCCTCATCCCCCAAGCAGGGGCTCCATGGATGGGAAGGCAGAGGGCAGGGGGCTGCCTGCCACGTGCAGGTGGGCTCCTCGCTGCAACTAGCCCAAAGCGCAGCAGAAACCCCCGTGTTTCTGGTTGCTCCCACACTTCTGTAACCCAGACAAAGCAGCTAACAGCAGAGGAAGTTAACGTATCGATTAGAAAGGCTAAGATGCAATAATAAATGTGACATATTCAGCTAAGACGCAGCCCCTGGACCTGCTGAGAGCAGCAGCATTGGGTTTTAGCCAGAGTTTGAGCAGCTCTCAGGTTTTGAAAAATGTGAAGTACACCTACTTGGCTTCTTTAATTGAAAAATTGAATACCTTTCAGTGAAGATATCTTCCAGACTAGCTAGACCTTAAATTTTTAAGATCTGAAGCACAAGCGTTTGTCAAACACCTCTTCTCTCCACCAAAGAGTTGAGCTGCTTTAAACTGGCTGCCGGGGCTGGGCTGGCTGCTAGGTACTGAGCATAGCTGGGGAAAGACAGAAGCAGAAAGGCTCAAGCAGCTGTTTCAAGAGCAGAGAAGAGCTTCCTACAGCACGAGTGCGAGGTGGAAATCTTGAGAGGATCCTGAACCCAGCGAGCCCCCGGAGCCTCATCCACACGCGGCGCTCGTCCCCGGGCGCGCTGCCCCTCTCCATCACCCGCTCTTGAGAACGCAACGTGGGGCTGCTGCAGAGACCTTGTGCAACAGCTACTGCCTGAAGCCCTGTTATCAAACACCGCGGTAAGAAACAGGGCTAAAAATAACGCTTCCCTCTCTTCCCCCATCTTCCTTCTAGCTGGCAAACCTCAGCTGCCACCACCAAAGCCCGCAGTGCTCCAGCACCAGCCCTTTCATAGCCATGGAAGGCGCTGATTCCCCTGGCAAACACCTCCTGCAGCCCAGTTGTGCTGCTCCTCCAGCCAAGGCTGCCCTTAACTCCTTCCCCACCAGCCTCTGCCCCTGCTCCCAGTGCTGAAGCCTGAGCTCTGCACCGCTCTTGCATTCCCACACCGTCCTCTGAGCCACCTGGATCCAGCCGGCGAAATTAAAGAGCAGTTACACAAGAGAAAGTGGTAATTTGGCTGGTGGCTCTTACAGTTTGCTGGACAGGGGAAAATGAAAAATTCTCCCCCCTGGAAAAATACCGGACTGGAATTGTTTGAGTCAGAGTCAGGCAATGGGCATCGGTTCGCAGCCAACATGTGGTACAAGCACAGAACGGATGCTGCCGTGCGCCCCGCAGACAAACCGCCGCGCAGAGCGGCTGTCAGCCCCTGCGAGGGCACGGAGGGAAGGTGAGATCTTAAATGCTGATTTCTGGCTGAGTGACAGCTTGCTGGATGGAAGCGAAGCGCAGCCCCTGCCTCCTCAGCCCGGGAGCAGCTCTGCAAAGCAGCGGCCCTGGCACCAACATGTTTGCTGCAGACAAGAGATGCGCCCCACGAGCATCGTTCCTGGCACCCTGGGGGGAATCAGCTGCTGCGGCTGCTATTTGATCTGTCCCTGGGGACTGAGAGCACTCCAGCTCCTGCGCCTTCAACTTCAGAAAAAAACTGCCAGGAAGAGACAAAAACAAAAGTTGCAGAACTTGATCAGTAAGGGCTACTTCCGCTAGTAATTGTTAAGAGTTTCACAAATATTTTGCTACAAAGAAAAGGTAAAAAAAAGAAAAAAAAAAAGAAAAAAAAGCCAAATAATTCTTGAAGCCTGGACTCCAATTAAATTTTTCAAATTATTGTAAGCAAGAGGAAAAAAAAATGCACAGGCAGGACAAATGTTCTCCTAATTACCCAAACACTTTATTAACCAATGCTAATTAAAGCGTTTCTTGGAGTCTGACAAATGTCTGAAATTGCTCAATTTAGAAGTTAGTTTTGACTCCAGTAATTTATGCAGCATTAGAAAGTTACGTGGGAAAAGTATCTTTCAGCTAATGTTTTTTTATTAAAGCTGACAGCAATAATTAGTTATTTGCTACTAATGGGGTGGCCCCTTGAGGGGAATTTACCGAGATGGATGGATTGGGCTCCTTCCAGCATTAATTGGTCTGAGCCTCGGTCAGATGCTCCAGCAGAGATCGTCCCAAGCACAGCCTCTCCTCTTCAAACTCACACTTTGGTTCCCTTACAAAGAAAACAAGCCGGATGGCCTGATCTATATCTTAGAAAAAAAATAAACCTTTATTTTTTAAAACATAATTCCAGCCAAGGAAGCACCGGGCACACCGCCTGCCCCGCTGGGAGGGGCCAGGCCCTTGGGCTCCAGCAGGCAAAAGTCACGCACTGAAATACAGCTGCTGAAACCAGAGTTCAGCAGTAATGGGAGCAACGCACTGTCTCAGCAAATGAAGCTGAAACTCCGTAATTGCAGCCGCAGAGTTCCTCGGAGCTCTTGTTTTGCTGGAAGTCAGTATTTTGTGCGGCGCGGTCCTCGCAGCAGTCATCGCCCAATTAGTGACGAGCTACTCGCTCGGAGTAGAAGTAATCCACATTACAAACGCCATTTGTTTTGTTCCAGAGAATAATTGATCATCTTTTTAAAGGGACAGCGTAAAAGCATTAGGCCTGAAATTAAAGCTTCACCCAGCAAAGAGCAACCCGAATTTACCGCTGAACTGTTATCATGGGTCTTTATACCGTTGTGTCTCGTAAATCCCCAGCTGCTGGAGTCAACTGATTACGTGAGAACCTCAGCTCTTGTTAAAAGTAGATTTCTGGTTTTCTCAGACACAGAAAAAGCCCCGAACACAGGGAACTAATGAGCTGCGTGGATTCAGAAATCAGAATGCAAAGAAAGAAGATCCAGATTTTCTTTTCATCTCATTTTTTGAGCTTGACACATAATTTTGGATGCTTGGGTTGTCAATACCTTTTGTTTCTCATCTTTCCTATAAACTGCAAATGATCCAATTATAGAGTAAAAAGAACAGAAAGGGGGGAAAGCTGGAGAAATAGAATAATCTATGGGGGAAAGAAAGTAGCTGAGATGAAAAGCTAATGAAATGACAAATGTAACACCACTCAGACGAATTAAAAGGGATTTGGTGTCAGACAGAGAAGGGAAGGCAAGCGAGTATGAGATCAGCCCAAGGACTCAGTTCTCATCCCGTGACTCCTGGATCTCTGCTTGATCCACACTTCTTCTCTCAATCCGACGCCTGAGTCCATGCTGGATTAAAAGCATAGCAGAGGAGAGCTCTTCCAAGCTCTGGCTGAAAAATATCCCGAGCCACGTTCTCTCTGTGTCACAGGGATGCTTTCCTTTTGTGTTGAACAGATTTGCCATGTTGTAAAACAAACCTGAATTCAACCAGAGAGGATCTCTGGAGCCTGATGTGAAAAGCTCTATTTTTCTTCTCTGTCTCTTTTTTGAAAAAGATAGAAGGGAAATGTGCCATAGGCTGAGAAAGGCACTTAAATCGCGCTTGCAGAAGAGGTTAACGCGGAAGCCTTGACAGGTATGCTAATGCTCTGCTATTTAGTCTGTAGGAACTGACATTAAAAGGCCTTGGTTAAAGACACGACTCAGTGTTTGAGCAATTTAATGAGGTGTTTCACATATCCCGACCTTGTAGGAACTATCACGGCTTTCCGACTGTTTCTGGTTGTGTTGGCCATTTGGGCTGACACCTGGGCGTGCTAACCCAGGGCCGTGGGTGCCTGTGGGAGCTGAGCCCCTGTGCCAGCACCTTCCCTGCGAGCAGCACCGTAACCTCTCCTTGTGCTAAGTCCAGCAACACCACCTCTCACCACATGCCTGAGCCCTCGACAGACAGCATTGACCCAAAACGCAGGAAAATCTATGAAATACGTCAGGCGTAGAACGTATCAATTTTGACCTTTAAATTTTTGAAGTCTCTTTTACCACTCATTCAGCGTAAGAACGGGAAGCTGATTTGACTTCAGAAATGGAAAGTTTTGATAAAGAAGTCAAAACCTGGCACTGGGACCATTTCAAAGTTAAGCACGAACTGTGCGTGACAAATGCCACGGCTTGGCGGGTCTGACACTCAACAGGACAGCCAAGTCTGGCTCCTACAACGACGGCAAACTGAAGGTGTCGTGGCTGATGGCACCAACAAATCCACCCCAGCACCCATCCTGCCCCACCGCTTCCCTGCCCGCGTGCCCCAGAAAAGGGATCTCCTGATGCACAATCACCACTTAGCCCTCCTGCCTTCTTTATTCTTATGCCTTTGGAACCAAATTAGCGTGGTACATTTTGGCAACGGGCTCTTGGGACTCACACTGCTTTGGATAAATAGATATACGAGCGACTTAGCATTTAATATTTTAAAGTCTTGGGGAACCGCACAGCGTGCAGCACTTTGCCCAACTTGAGCACTGTGTAATTTACAGGCTGCTGCATGCTCAGCCAGGAAAGCCTCAGGCTCCGTATTTCTCTCCTGTCCCTGGAAGCTGTTTGTGGATGCACTCCTGGCTCTGGCAGCGCTGAGTAGAAGGCAACAGGGAGCTGCAGCAGCTGGGAACGTGAGCTCCTGGTGCAAGCAGGCACTAAGGTTATTTCCGAGCTATCTCAGGGGCTCAGAAATCCAGCACCCATTCATTCCAATACGGTTTGGCCATCAAGAAGCCTGAAAAATTATAGCCTAAGCCCTAGCAAAGCAGCGATAGCAAAATAAACAGGGCTCATCCTGGGGAAATCCCTTGCAAGGCTTTGCTCAATTCACCAACAACAGCCCCTCCAGCAGCCCCACGCACAGCCCCCACTGCTCCATGCACCCATGGGACCCCCCCAGGAGGCTAGCAAGTCCCTCATGCCCAGTGGGCCTGCAAGCACCAGAAAGGAGATTTAGGAACAGAAGAGCCGCTTTATTTTAAAGCTTTTAAGGGAATATTGAAAGGAGTGGAAAGGGGTTTTGATCTTTTTTTTTTTCCTTCCAAACTTAAAAAAAAAAAAAAGAAAAAAAAAGAAAAAAAAGCTTTTAAAATAAATAGCTGGCAATGTCTCTTGTTTGAGTAATTCTTTGCCAGCAATAAATGTGTCACTCTAAAGTGCTTTATTTAGAAATAAAAAAAATGTTTTTCTTTGTAGAGCGCTCTGCATTACATCAAGTTAAAGGCTGGAAGCGAAATTCTCTTCCTCACTCTGCATACCCCTCCCTGCTTGATACATTCATATATTCTCCTATAATCTGATCTAGGTTATAAAAATATATAAAAAAAAGAAAAAATAGAGAGACATCTGGCTCTCCCACACATCTGACATTTCCCTTTATGCCTGGTTTAACTTTTTTATGACTGCCTGGGTTCGCTTCATTGGAGAATTTCTCCCTTCAAATGAGTTTCCTGTTTTATGTTAGAAAATTTTCCTTTAGACAAACCTGGTAATTTTTCAAGTTAAAATGTGTACGTTTTAAGTACTTAGGAAGTTTAAGGATCCTACTGATGGCGACATAAATCTGAGTTTATTCACGCTGGAGTCCCTGTGTCTAACCAATCCTTTTAAAAAATAAAAGAGAGAAAGAGAGAGAGAGATGGAGACTTAGGGAAGAGAGATTTTTTTTTCCTTGTGTTAAAGCAGAACCCCCCCCATACTGTCAATTCAGTAAGAAATTTATTAGTAGCTGCTTGTACTTCGTGTGCTGACACCAGTGGAAGGCAGTGCTTGCAGTTTCTCCTGCATACACATGGTCAACAGCAAAGAGGGGGCTGCCCCAGGGTCACCACCACGTACGGGGGCAGACCTGCGGGAGCCCAAGCTTGGGTGCTCCATCCCTGCTGGGGCATCGCCTTGGCACCAGCTGCTTTGGGCCCAAACACTGGGATTTTTGTCCCTGGGGAGGCAGAAGGGGCCGGGGCACTCAGCAGGGGCCAGGTTTGGTTTTACCCAAGCGGTACCCATGCAGGCTGCACAATGGAGGTGCCCAATTTGGGCACGCGTTAATTGGGAGCAAGAGGGTGTCTCTGCTTCCCACAGCTCACCTCTGGGTCAGCCTTCGTCGCCCCCACTGCTCCTCCTCCAGCTCCTGCCTCATCCTCCTCCAGCTCCTCACTGACGTCGGGCTGCTGCCACGCAAGATCACGTAATGAATAAAAGCAGGACGAGTCCTATTGTTCGGTAATAAGGAGGGGAAAAAAAAATGATCAAAAAAGCCAGGGACTTAAAAGACCAAAATTATTTCTCACATAGAATAGGGGGGAAAAAAATAAAAACCCTAACATGCCTTATCGCGGCGGAGAACAAGCGCTGTGCAAATGTGTGGGCCTGTGAGTGGCGTGCAGGTTGTTTTGAATAGACGTGTGACATTGTCAGGGAACCTTCCATTGTGCCTCTGAAAGGCACTCGCAACATTGCATGAAAATCAGTCATTTGTGTCACCCTGAGAATGGGAAAAGATGCCGTGGAGGGTTTTTTTTTTCTTTTTTTTTTTAAAAGGCGATGTCCCCAGAATAAGACCTTCAAAGCCAGATAAAGCTTATTTCTGAGAGGCATGGAAAAAAGGCAAGAAAGCAAAAGTTTGGGGAAGCTCAAGAGACCGGGTTTCTCTAGATAAACAGATACAGCTCTCCTCCTCTGGGCCATCAGCCCTGCATCCAGAGGCCCCAGCCCTCCTTGTCCCTCCCCAGGCACAGTTGGGACCACGGCTGCTGGTGCCCATGGCTCCCCCAGACCTGGTCCTGCTGCAGGACCTCGATCCTTGTTGCCTCCCTCCTGCACACCAACCCTGGCTATCAGGGCAGAAGCTCTCCCCCAGCCCTGCTCCCCAGCAACTTAGATGAGAAAACGCGATCCCCTGTCCTCCAGCATTTTGCAGGTTGGTCAGGGGCACAACAGCTCGGGAGACTTTTTTTTTTTTTTTTTTTTTTTTTTTTTTGACAAATGCACTTTCATTTTCAGCCCAGTTTCCTCTCTGGGAACAGAAGATATGTTCTGTCGGTTCTAATTAGCTGCCCCAGTCACTCACAGCAAGGGACTTCTGATTTAGCCTTTGCTTAAATCCTTCCCAGCCTTCTCCTGGGGGGCAACCCCACGTTTCCACCCCTGTTCTACCAGCCCCAAGCCCACATCCCTGGGGAGGACACGGTCCCATTGCAGGTCCAGCTCTGCTCCTGCATGGGAGGAAGCTCCCACCATGCATGGCTGGGGTGGTTTTGGGCTGCACGTGTCCGCCTCACACACATCCTGCTCCACACCCCATCACCTCCCACCCAGCAGCTCCCAGGGCGAAGAAAAAGTGGCTTCAGCCACCCCCAGCACCAGGGGAACACTGCGAGGGTGGCCTCAGGATAAAGCTGTTGGGGGACAAGAGGGCTGTGGCAGACTCAGTCCCAGCAAAGGCTCCGCTCCCAGGTTTCATCCAAGTGCCTAATTTTCAGAGTGCTAACTGCTTGGGCTCCGACACAAACAGCTGCAGAAGCCAGAAGAAAGGCAGGGGAAGGACAGAGGTGGTAAAAGGAGGGAGAACCCTAAAATAAATAAAATTGATTAAACAAATAAATAGATAGAGAAATATCAGAGGGAAAATAAAATAAAACAAGCTGCAGTGCCGGATGCCCAAGCACTCATTAACAGCGGGAGAGAAGGGAAGGGAAGTGTCTCATTGTCTGGGGCTGTCATCCTTCATTCTGACGAGCACTTAGAGAGTCGCGACCCCTTTCAGCATCTCCACACAGACAATCAGCCCCGCGCATCGGTCACTGCCACGCGCTCGCCGCATCGCTGCCTTGTTACAGGGCTCGGCAGAGGGGAGGATATCAGGATACCATGCCATCGGGGAGGGCTGCGCCCATACCACCAAGGAGGGAGCAGGGACGTGGGCACTGCCTTGCCAAGCCCCACGCCACGGGACTGCCTTCAGCTCAGCTCTGAACCTCTTCTTCTCCTGCCTGCAGCTCACACCCAAGCGTGGAGAGAAAGAGAAGCCAAGGGGCGAGGTGCTGGGTCTCTTTCCTTGGTTGGTGCCTGCGGACCCCCAGCCCAAGCTGCCTCGCAGGAGGACGGGGTGCAGCAGAACTATCCCTGCACACACCTACACGCAGGGTTGTCTCTGGGAGGCCTCGCTGTCAACAGCTCTGAAGCAATTACTGGAACTTGGTGTAAAGAAAAAAAGTGTCATCTGCTTAGAAGGAGCCCAGGAGGGGGCAAAATGGCATTTGTGGAGAGGCCAGCAGATGGGGGACTGGGGAGACGGACGAGGCAGAGGTGATGAATGAGCAGGAACGCTGGAGAATCTGCAAACCTGTGTTTTTGGTGCTCTACAGACTGAGGATTTCAGCTGAGGCTGCTCCCTGGCATCACAGCTTGTTACCTTTCTGCCTGAGCTCCCTTTGTGCTTTATTATAATTTTAAAGCATGGTTAGCACTAGTGAGAGATACTGAATTGACAGCCCCAGAGTGATGCCTCCAGCACGCTGCCCTCCCACTTGGGTTGCTGTTGTTATTTGTGTATTTGCAAGCTCTGACAATAGGCTGATCACTGCACGGATAATAGAAGCAACCCCTGGCTCGGTGGGTTCATCTCCGAGGGGGGGAAGGACATCAGGATTCAGGGTTGGCTCCAGCCGAGAAAATAAAGGAACGGGGCACGCTGGTGACAACACGTTTCGGGGGCGCAGAATAAATATTTGAACGACCTGGGTTTTGTACTGCTGGCCCACTTGATGAGTCAGCAGCACCAGGAGCCTGTGTGGCAGGAGGTGATGCTCCCCGTGCCTCGCTGCTGCCTGCACCACCCTGAAAGCGCAGCGATTCCTGCAGCCTGGTCGCCATAGGAATAGCTCGTTCCTCCTTGACGGACTCCTCTACTCAACCTGTTGTGATTTAAATTAAAGACAGCTGGTCTCATGCCGAAGCCGGTGTCACATGCCTTTTAGCAGCAGCTTGCCTATCAGTTTACATTCCCTCCTCCAGTCATCCCAGGATGCTATAGCTCTCTTAGGTGGGGTTTATCATGACACCGAACAAGCACTGTCAGTGCTCGCTCTCAATGAAGCAACAGCTCAGAACACAGCGAACGCCTCTGGATTTTCTCTGCAAACATCGCTTGTTGCAGGGAACTCCCATTCTGCCGGACTGTTTGCTCCTCGTCAACACAGGAAATTTGGCTGGGTGCTTCAGAACCTCTAGAGCAAACACGGTAGTTATTTAAGCAAAAAAAGCAAACAGCTTTTAGTGAAATGTGGAGAAAATGAGTCCGCTGCTTCATCCCATGTCCTGCATGGGCTGTCACAGCCCAGCAGGCAGGGGGCTGGCTGGGAAAGTGCCCCCCGGGGTCACAGTGAAACACTAGGAGGGGACAGGGCCATCAGCCTGGCAGGCAGACCCAGACCCCATTGCCTGTTTCCCCCCCCCCCCATTTTGGGGGAGCTGCTGCTGCTCCAGGCTGGGCTTGTAACTCTTGTTTATTTATCCAATTTTACTCTGCTGAAATTGAATTTGTGTTCCAGTTTTTCCCTGATTCCATAAAGGGACACCAGTTACATTGTAAGTCCAATTTATCCTTTGCAATGTATTCATTAAACCCCAGTTAGGTCCTGCATTATTTAATGCAATTGATGATGTAATTAAGCTACAGGCAGACATTAACAACCAGAACCGTCAGGGAAGTTTAGGATCCTTTACTACCCTGTTCCTGATGTTATACAGCTTCTAATTTCATAACAATTACTCTAACCAGTTGGTTAAAGCCCCACACTTCACACATACTGAGTGCCCAAAGCACAGCTCTAAAGCAGGCTGGGGTGCAAGGTTGTGCTGTAACATCCCACACGAGACTTGTGGATGGCATTTCTGCTTTCTTTGCTTTGCCCATTGTCCTCTATCCCCCTAATTCAGAATAGAAATTCCTTTATTTGTATGTAAAGGAATTCTAATGTTGGATATATATATAAAAATACAAAAGTCCCCATGCTGGCTTCCTCTGAATTATTCCTGATTTACACCAGCATAAGCTGCAAGCACTCCAGCCCCCTTTCACATCTTGAAGTGAAACGCATAACCTTCAGTTTCAGGTTTCACAGTGTGGGGATAATTAACTCGTTTTATTGCTGGGGGCTGGAGTAGGAGGAGAAGTTTGGGACCGTTTGCAAATTACTCAGAGCTGCGCAGACAGGGTGCAGCACTACCATCCTTAAAAGTGCATCAGATCCAAAGACATGAACGCCTCCAAAACGTGCGCGTGACCTGATTTTCACTTGTATTCAGGGGAGTTATTCCAGCACAGCATGGAAGTTTCAGATAGTCCTGCCCAGGCACTCTTTCCTTGGCAGAAATCCTCTTTTCCCCCAACACAATCAAGCCTGCTCCAGATCCTCCACTTCTTACCCACAGGTAGAGGAAAATGTGAAACCAGCACATCAGCTGGAACACTCCAGCCTACCCCGGGGCTAAAAAAATGACAGCACAGAGCACTTGCAGACCCCCAGCATGGGTACACCCCAGCTCCCAGAGCCCCCCACATCCACACGAACACTGGGGTTTCCCACCAGGCACAGCACAAACAGCAGCTTCTGCAGAACCCAGGCAGATAAAAACTCACCTGCTGATGCCTACCCACCACCGGGAGGCCTAATGTTGGGCTTTAAAAGCTGAGGAGGGGATTTCCACCTCTGCTTGTAGCTCTTCCCTCCAGCTCCTGCCTTGCTCTTGGAGCACCAGCTTGCTCTTGGTGGCACAAGCACAGGCCTGATGCTGAACCTACTGAAGGCTTTGTGGGACTGAGGTGAAGCTTTAATAATAACTGCCATTGCATTAGGAGATTGCTTCCTTGTGCCTTATCTGCCCAGAGATATCAGCAACCAGGATCTTATCACACTGTAATTACCAGGCCTAGATTTGCACTAATTGGCTCTCTGGAGTAAAGTTACCTCCAATCTGTGTATTATGGGTGCTCAGCAGGAAGCGATTTACAGCTGAACAGGTTATATGGGATGATCTAACGAGGATTAGCTGCAGCTGCAGCCAAGAGAGCGAGGAACAGGGGTGGTGGGCATGGTGAGAACGTGCCTCTGCCCCAGCTCCTTCAGAGGGTGCACAATGCAGGGTGTGTGTGAGGGGGAGTGTGCTCTGTGAGCTGCTGTCCCTTGGGGTACACAGCTGGAACTTTTTGGGGGGACACAGCGCTGAGCTTGGCCAAAAAACAGGCACCCTGTGCTCCTTCTGTTGGTTCACATGTTCCACCTCCAAAGTTGGCTGTGCCTCCCCAGCAAGCTTCTCCTACGTCCTGCTGCCATGCAAAAAGAGCACAATAGTTAGAGAAGGTCTCTGGGAAAATGCAGAAGTGACCGCAAACACCTGCGGGGGGCTGGCAGCAGCAGAGCCAAGCTCCTGAACCGGAGCGCCTGTTTGGACGCTGCCTTTTCCCTGTAATTAGTGCATATTTGTCTCTTTGACTTCAAGTGATATTTAGCAGTTTAGAGCTTGGGACCCTCATTACTTCGGCAGCGTGATAAAAAAATAGATATGTAATTGAGATGCTGTTCCACTCCTCTGGGACCGCAGCGCTGCCTGGCTCGGCGGGATGCGGAAGCGTGTCGCCCTGATCAGAGGCAGATAAGGAGGCCAGTTGATTAGGCTGGATCCCACAGGCAAACCCTAATCTCGCAGTCTGTTTGTTAACTATCTGCCTTTTTGCGATGTTTGGTTTGCATAATGTGATAATGTAATAATGTGATAGCTCTTTAAGAGGGAAATGAATCCAAATTAGGGGTGGGGGACGGGTGCACTGCAGCGAAGGCAGATCCCTGTGCCTGCCTGTGGGACTGGGATGCTGTGGAAGTGGCAGAAGGGTGGGTCAGAAGAGGTCTCAGGGAGCACCATCCCCTGGACGCAGGGCCTTTTTGTGCCCTCGGACCCTTCCAGCAGCAGCTCTTTGCCTTCCCCAGTGCTGCTCCTGCAGCTGCCTCGCTCTCTCCTAGCAGCTGCTGTGAAAATCTCATTTCCACCGAGTCCAGCTGCTCTCCTGTTGTCCATCCCATGTCCTTGGAGAGTGACCAAATGTCATCTTTTCATTTATTTTCCTGTAAGGCTATACTTTGGGAAGGCAGTAGCACACAGCCTTCCCTAGGCTCAGGCACACCTCGCTCCATCCCACGCAGGCCGGGTCTCAGCGAGCTCCAGCAGGGACACAGCTGTGTCCTCTCAGCCTGGACAAGGTCACATCCTCAATGCTGGCTGCTAAAACGGCATAATAAAATTACCTCACATGAGCAAGACGTTCCTGCTAATCACGGCTTTGCTGGTTTAAGTGCTGCTACATGAAAGGTTTTGCTGGCCCAGTTTCCCCACTCTGCTTCTCACCTCTGCTAGCGCAGCAATGTCAGCGGAGGACTGCGGCGTACACACGGGTCCTACAAATCGGTGCTCAGCAGCCGTGTTTTGGGCCCATCTCTTGTCCACAGAAATAAAGAAAGCCAGCAAGAGCTGACTTGCCACCTGGGAGCCCACCAGGACACGCAGTCAGTCGTACCCGTACCGTGTCTCCGTCCTGCCACAGCGACTGCGGGTCCTGGTGGGACCCGCCTGCCACACGCTGCAGAACCTGGAAGAAGCAGTCCCAGCCCCGGAGAGCTTAAACTCTGGCAGACAGAAACAAAAGCTGAAAGATGAGCAGGTACGTGCCATCCCCCAGCAGCTCCGGTGGCTGCAGGGTCACAGAAGTCAATGGAGCGAGGAGGCTCCGTGGCACCCGTGGCGCTGGCTGCAAAGGGCTTCAGATGCACCAGGCTCGAGCTGTGCAGCTCTGGGCAGAAAGCACTGCATAATCCTGGGAAATGATTCTTCTATTTTATGCTAGCTGCAACTAAAAAATAGAGAATAAGAGAGTCAGGCAGATGAGAAGCTAAGTTCAGGATTTTTTTTTCTTATTTTTTTTATTTTTAAATTTGTTTTCTAAAATAAAAAAAATCACCTCAGAAAATCACAGAATGATCATCTGGCAACTGCAAGGCAGCGGTCGTACAGTGGGCCCTTCCTTGGGGCAAGATTTTTAATAACTTCCTAGCTATGGGAGGCTGCTATCAACTCGCAGCTGGAAGATTTTTTTTTCACCCAGCTGGATCTTGAAGGCTTGTTACATCATTAACTCCCCGAGATAATTTTTGAAAGGGAGTTGTTTGTGGCTTGTTTGATTTCTTTCCTGACATATCTTCCAGGTAAATCTCTGCGCTTCACAGTGCTTCTCTGGTTTCTGAGCCAGAATAAAACCTCTGATGTGACAATCATCTGCTGTCGGACAAAAACATGGGCTAACATGCTTTTACCATGCGAATATGACATTAACACCAAATATCACAACTCCTTTGCTGGCCTCTGCAGATGAGGAGCAGAAAGGTTCCCTACCTGGTGGCGTCTAGCTGGTTTTTTAATTGCTGTCCTCGCAATGCTGGAGCTCGGTCCCAGCAAGCAGCAGCACAAGCCGAGGTGCACTAACACCAGCACGGTACCACGTGGCTCCCAGCTGCCTGGCTGCCATCTTTTGCTCTTTAGCTTATGTTTAAATTGACAGATTTGGGGTTGAGAAGATTTTTTTTCCTTCAGATCATATTAACAGCAATCAGAGTACTCTTCCTTTTTTCTTTAGGTATAAAGAAATTCCTTGCTATTGAGAAGGCCTAAGGTCAATGCTTTCCATTCTCCTGCTCTCACCGTCACACATTTGTTATGTTTCTCTTTTCCTCTAGATCTGAAGTTTGTAACAGGCACTGAGAGATGCTTCGTGGCCCCCGGTAAATGAAGGTTTTCTGTAAACTCTTCTGAACTGCTGCGTGAGCGCCCTAGATAACGGAGGACTTTCTCCTCCTGGTACGCTGCCTGAGCAGAGGGAGCAGCAGTCTTTACCTCACATGTAACACTTTCACTAACTTTGGCTGAGAACTCAGGGATTTGTTACTTTTCCTTTAACATTTAGTTCCAAGAGGGGAGTACGCAGAAACCCAGCATGCAAATGAGTCCCCAGAGATTGGGACCCTTCAGGCTTGCATCCACGTCTTGAACACTGTAAGCCTGGCCCACTTCTAGTCTATTAAACAGCTCACAAAAGAAACTGGACATCGGTCATAATTCTTTTACCAAGTTATCACTGGAAAATGACCCTGCATCCGTGAGTTGTCTCAAAGGCACTCGTGCACCAGTTTTGAATGAGTTGCCTTTTAATTCCATCAAGTGCTCGCTTGGTCTTGCAGCATGGGGAAGGATAAATATTGCTTCTGCTACAGGAAACAAAGTGGCTTTGGCTGAGAAAATATGCCTGTGGGGAAAATTGGTCTGGAATCGCTGTTATTGATGACTCAGGTACGGAGGGAACATCTCTTTTGAAATCTTCTCCCCCACATGCTCTGTCCTGTCCACATGACTCATCCTTGGCTTAAAGGGATTACTTAAGAGTGACAGGGGAATTTGATCTCCATTAAAACCAAATCATTTGTCACTCTGCAAAGAGCAGTGACAAGGAGGACAATTAGTGCAAACGGGGAGGCAATGTTTATGATGTAGAGGCTTGTCCATTAGTCAAGTGTTTATCGGTGTGGGTGTTTGCCCATCCTTGAAGGATAATGAGATATTTTGGTGGGGTCATGCAAAGGCCTCCCCATCCTTCTCCAGAGCCTCAGCTTTCATTAAAAAGATAATAAAAATAAAATAATAAAGTAGTTCTCTGGCTGTCGCGTGCAGCTCAGCCCTCTCAGCAGCAGCAGGTGTAGCTGATGCTGGCTGTCCTGCCTGTTTGCAGAGCCAGGGCAGCCGAGTGAGCAGATCTCCATCCCCAGGCAGGCAGGGGACCCCACATCAGTGCCTGGGGGTTGGTGCACTGCCTTTCCATGCAGCAGGCTGGGGGAGATTGCAGAGATGCCTACTGGCAAGCCACGGCACAGTCAGTGTTTTAATCCCTCAGCAGCACAGGGCCCTGGGAGGAGTTTAATTCCTTTAAGTGTAGGCTCAGCTGGCAGCAGCAGGGGAAACTTTGCATTAACTGATGGAGAGAAACTCACCAAATGACTGCTCGTAAGTCAGGGGACAGTCACATTCCCTAGGAACGGCTTTGCAGCATCATCCTGCTCTTGGCTGTATAATGCTTGAATCACACATGAACCCTGAATCCGCTGCAAGCCCTTCATGCACTCCCTGCCCACAGAGGCTCCTGCTGGGGTCCTGGGGGCTTCACCTGGGGATGGCACAACCTGCTCCACATCCCCACTGGCACCACAAAGCACCATAAGAGCAAACAGCTTGTCCCTCCTGCTCAGGTGGCCCCGGGAGCACTTCTCTTCTGCAAACATCCGCCCCTCGCCTTTCTCACTCCATTGCTTTCCTTTGGCAGACGGAGGAGTTTTCTGGGTATAGCATTTGTACTCATCTCTGCTCAAATCTCCCCGAGAAGCTGAGACCTGGGCTTCCTAGGGACGTGTCCCATTTTCTGCTTTCTGCACTAGCAGCGCTGGCAAGGCACTGGCGTTTGGGGAGGGACGCGCTGTGCCGTTGTCTGCCCAGAGCACCTCGCTCCGGGCTGTGGTTTGTGTTCTGCCTGCAGGTGGATGGGGGTCTCAGAGCACCCGGGATCACCGCGGCATTATGAGCTTTCACGCCGAGGTGAGTGGCTCTGGATACAGAAGCGGGTCATGCACAGAAGCGTGCTGGAGATGCTTTGATGCACTGGGGAAGGGGGAGGCTGGGAGAGAGGAATTGACTGCCCGTGTCCGCCTGCCCTGGCTGAAAACTGAATTACTGGGTGCCTGCAGGTCTGCACGGGCTCCTCCAGCTCATATTAAGCAGTCTGTGAGCTGAAGACTTCAGGGGCAGAAAGTGTGTACCCAGGGAAGGGAACAGGAGGAAGGAAGCAACCATGGACCCATGGGAAGCCCTCTAGCTCATGGCAAGGGGCACAGCAGCAGGAGAAGGGCAGCTCCGGGAAACAGAGGAGCCCCAGCAGCAGAGGTTGGCTGTGCTGCTCCCTGTTCAGCCTCCAATTTGTGTCAGGAGCCCGAAGCGTCTGTTTCCTCATTTGCACAACGACAACGACACAATTAGCTGTCTTCGCAGAGTGTTGCGAGGTTGGCTCTGTAAGGAGCATGAAACGCTCTGGGATTCACAGACAAAAGGATTTCCATGGAAATCGCAGCCTGCCTGTTCTCAGGGATGACAGAGGGATGCAAGGTGTGGAGCCCCGCAGCAGAACCTCCCCTGCCCGCCGCTGAGCTGCCTCAGCAGCCCTTGTGCTGGTGCAGGGGGTGGAAACCATGCCCTGCTGCTCCCCATCACACATTCCCTTAGAAGTGTTGTGCCACTAATGAAGGAACGTAAGAGACATTACTCTCCGTCACTTCCAGTTACGCACCCCCGGCCCCCCCGGTGCACGGCTCTGTCAGCACTCCCCTTCTCTGCAAGTGTGGCGAGCCTCTGCTAAAAAGAAAGGCCATTAATAATAATTACCCACGAAGAAGTACACCCCTTAATGAGTCCTAAAAAAATAATGCTTAATTGAAAAGCTTTCTACTTCGGAGACAGCACCGGCACTTCAGAGAAGTCCAGGCAGCTCCAGCAGCTGAAGATGAAATGAAGAAACTCGCCAGACAGTGCTGGATAGGGCTGCGAGAGACGGACCTCAAAGTCAGGGGTCAAACAAAAGCGATCACTTAAATTCAAGGAACCATCAACAAGGCAATAATTGGATTGAAAGGAGGTGGTAGATGGAGAGAAACAAAGCAGCAAAACAGCTTTGTAACAAACATCATTAAAAACAAAAGTTTGGGGAAGCAAAAGGAGCAAGTCCTGGGTCCAGGAGGCAGAGCAGAGCCCATGGAGCCCCCACATCCCCACAGGGACTTGGCTTGTGGGGGCTGATCCCAGCTGGGGCACACACAGGATCTGTCAGGGGTTTGTCCTGCTGCTCCGTTTGGGATTAAAACCACCAGCTGTTTGTGGACACCAGGCACTGAGCTCAGCCCCGTGCTCCCTTTCAGAGCCACAGGCTGGGGACTGGATATTCACCCAGGCACGGCCACAAGGTGTAACCACAGCAGAGTTAACCCAGCCCAGCGCTGTAAATCAGGAAGGCTTAAAAAACATCAGCCTGGTGCGACACGTGCTGTGCTGAAGGCTATTTCCTGTGTCCACTTCATAACTATTAACTTAAAGGCTTTATCACCCAGCAAGACAGACCCAACGGAGAATCCATCACCGCCGCTGCCTTCCTGAACGGGTCAGTGAGAGCTGCCCCGGACACCGACCTCCGCCAGCAGCCGTAACTCATTTCCCCCACCACACACACACCTTGCTTCGTGCTGTGCTCGCCGCTGGCAGCAGCCCAGCCCAGGGCTGGGAGCACTGCCACCGGGGCCCAATCAATCGGGGAGCGCATTTGGCTGCTCGCTCGCTGGATGGATGGGATGCGGGATCCAGGATGTGGCCACCCGCTCTTCCTGGTGGAACGGCTGCCTCCTTCCTTGCTGCCACAGGGCAGGAAGCCCAGAAACCACCAGGCAGGTTGTGGGCCATGGGTAACCTCCTTCCAGTGCTTCTCTTCAATCCCGAATTCCCACAACCCGCTCCCATCACATCAGATTTTGTCATGATGCCTGAGGGGCTCAGATTCTCCTCAAATCACCCTCTTATTGCAGAGCCAGCTCGGTATATAGGACCACAGAATTATCTTGGTGTGATTTTAGAGACAGAACAGCGGAGGAACAAGCAGGACACTGACATCTGGACCCATTTTGGAAGCTGTGAATGACCAGAGTTTGTCAGAGCAGTTTTGAAGAGCACAACACCATAAATAAAACAGAAACCACTCCAACCTCCCTTCCACCA